TTTTTTTTTTTTTTTGGACATATCCTGGCAGGGATTTCTAAATTGCCTAAAATGTCCATGTTTTGCCTTTGTTTTCCTATTGTTTTCATACTTGTACAAAGTAATGACTGAAAAGTACATAATTTACCAATGTGGCATGTAAGAAGGCGGAATCTGCAGAGAACAGTCAAAGCAATGTCTTTGGTCCTGACCAGGACAGGAAAAGAGGACATATGTTCACCCTATTATAACCGATATAGATTATTTGCATGTTTATATGTCGATAACCAATATTTGTAAATTAACCATTTAATGGTGGCTCTGACATTCCAAAACCGATATTTAATTATGGAAAAATGTAAAAATCAATATCGGTCAATTTCTACTCACTACATTTCTGCTGTAGTGAATATGAGAAAACAACCAAAAGTATATGTAAACATTCTTTTCTACTAGCCTGTACTCTTTCTACTGGTTCATCCAAATGCACCACATGCATATGATTACAAGCGCGTATCCCGTGATTATCAACAGGTAAATGCGGAAGAGAAGGAAGTCCAGGATGTAGCCCACATGACACCACTGGTTCTGTAGATGGTCTTCTTTTCGTAGAATGGACAAATAAGTGTTCATCTCTCTAAGATCCTGACTGATCTGTCTTAGTTCAGGCACATCCAGTGTCATGGATCCAGACGCTAGGGGACAAAAAGCAAACATTTAGCATCTTAAATAGAGGTGTCCCCTCCTGCTCCTGGAGGACCAACATCCTGCTGAGTTTAGCTTCAACAAGCTCCAATACAATTGCCAGGAAGTTTCAAGTGAATCTGAAGACCTTGATTAGGTGAATCAGGCGTGTTAAATTAGGGTTGGCGCTAAACTCTGCAGGACACCGGCCATCCAGGAACAGGTTTGGACAGCTTTGATTTGAAAGTTAACATCAGGATCTATTGTTAACATCAGGATCTATTCTGGTCTCACCATTAGTGGATGTCTGTTGACTGGACATTGATTGTGAGGGCTGGACGACCCATGGATTGGTTTCTTGTTTCCCTTCTAGCTTGGCTAAAGGGTCTTCAGGGAAACTGTAGCAAATAAGTCGAGCAATGAAGCGCATCACCAGCACCTGAACCCAATGTGGCACCTCCCTGTATTTCATTGAATTGTGGTGGAGGACGCAGGTGATGAGGACTGTCTCCAGCAGACTTATGGTCATGAGTGCCAGACACACAGAGAAATAGATACCTAGGAGGTGAAACCAAATTTTAGAGATAAAACTAAATGAGTGTTTAAAAAGTGTTAACAATACTACATAATCAAATTCTTTATTCTCTCTGAAATACTTGATCCTTATTGGTCAATCATGTCAATTGTACATTGTCCATGGCAACATACCGGTTGTACTGTTATGTCTCTCATATCACTCTACATGTTACATCTTTCTACTGTGTTTTGGTTAACTGTTGGCCTTGGAGGACTTCAGTATAATGGCGCGTTCACATTTGCAAAATTTCATGAGCAAAAAAAGGTCAGTTGCCTATTGTCAGTAGTGTAGAGATGTAAACACCGCTCAGCAATTCAAACCAAGCAGCTTTCTTTTGACCAACATGGCAAATTCGCATTACCAACTGAACCCAGTGCAAAATCTGCGTGGGGAAGTCTTTTGCTCGCAAATGTGTGGTTTCCTACTGAAATGATATCCCGATATTTACATTTTTCCACAATCAGATATCCTGCAGGTTTGCAGTTATAATGTACAAAATGTGCAAATATTAGGAAAAGAAAAATGTGCAAATATCGGTAAAATATTGGTACAACAATTATCGGTTGATCTATCAAAGCTTTTGTTAAGCCATCTATCAAAGGTTTTCTCTTCTTAAACCCAAAGTAGACTTCCATTTAGATACAAATGCTTTAGGCCAGAAGTTCACACATTGCTTCACACTGGTGTGTTGTGGCTAATTGACCTATTAAAGGCGTTCCATTAGCAGTGCTGGGAAGCAGGTCGTTCATAATGAGAAGAAAGACTGTATATCCCAGGATAAGGGTCATTTTGAAAGAGGATCGATCCACGCTGTGCGGCGGCAAGTAGAAGGACATGATGTCAATGATCATGAGGAAGGAGCTGGGGATGATCAGGTTCACCACATACAGTATCGG